TATATATATATTTCTGCTTTGAGTTCAGGTTGAGAAAACATCATCCAGCTGTGTTTTGATCAGCATGAGCAGAGGAGCACAATTCTGTCTTTATAAACACCCAGCTCATTTATGCCAGAGAGCCCTAATCCATCTGAAGGGAGGAAATGAGGCATATAGCTGAGTGAATCTTTGCATGAATGTACAACAGCAGTGAGCTCAGCAGGTGTATACAAGGAAGAGCCTTTGTTAAACCCACAACCAGTGTCAAAGCTTTTACACAACTGACCAGCACTGATGTTGAAGGGTGATACTAATCCATGGATACGTTTGTGTTTCAAAAAAGTAAACATTTCATAAAGATTTTTACAAATCTTCCCGCTCATCATTTACTGCATATGGTCATATTGTTTTTTAAAGATCAAGGTCAATCCCACGCTGAAAACATCAAACCAAATAAATGACAGGAGTCAAAAATAACAAGCAGATATCCCTTTGTAGAACAAAACACAAGCCTTAGCTCTTGAAACTCAACTCAGTATTTCAACTTTAGATATATTTACATTCATTTAAAACAGAAGCAGATAGAATAAATGGACCAATCTCAGTCATAAAACAAAAGTGAAAAGAGTTACTAAGCACAAAAATATCATTTTTAACTAGCACATAGCAAACCTAACCAATAACATGATTTGTCTTTACTAACAAAATGTGCTGCCATTTCCACCTTTTATTGCAACACAAAACATTGAATTTTATTCTGTTTTACATTATTTTAAACTTCTTTGCAGAGAATGAGGAAGGCAGATTTTTAGTTCAGTCTAGTTAGTCTCTTTTGAATAAAGTTCATGTTTTATCAGCCAATTTGTACTGTTACATTAAAAGTGTTAGAGTTATCCCAGTATTTTAATCAGTCTTTAATAAGTGGAAATGAACATGAACAGATCAGAAATGTGAATATGTTTTGTGCCTAACCTTAACAAAGTCAGTAGTAAGCTATATGAATGTGCTCTGTTACACATGTAAGGAGGCGATGTGGACAAAGGAACTGACTTTTTATAGCTGAGATTATTTACAGATTACTGGAATATATACAAGATAAAATAAACGAACAGTATAGCCATTACCTTTACCCGCTATTGCTTTCAGAGTCGGGGGCGGGGGGGGGGGGTGGTTACTGGTGCACATATCCGGTGTGTGAAGGGTGATTGTGGTCTGTGGGAGGAAATTGGAGTGCCCGGAGAAAACACTTGCATGCATAAAGAGAACATGCAAACTCTGCCCAGAAAGGTCCCAGGCAAGGATTCGAACCGACTCGAAGCTGTGTTTTGGAAAAAATCTGAGATTTTTATGGTGGGAAATCTGTTCAATTTATGGACAATCTGTACAATTCACATGTATGTTTGTGTTACATATGAAACCTTTTAATTTAAAAAAAGGCCAAAACTGGTGACCTGCATGTTCTTATTTGGGTTGTGAAGTAATGGTGCTGCACTCATTCTCTCTTAAAGATGCATACGTGTTCATCTCTTCACAGGGTTTCTTCTGCTTAGTTTTGTTTCTGCAAAACCAAAGGTAAAAAACAACAACAATGTACATTAGAATGCTTTCAGATTTACAATTTATCTGTTAATCCGATTGCAGAAGGTTTACTCTTTTTTGAATAAAAGCAAATGTTTCACTTTAATTCTTACCTTTGGTAAATGGAGAAAACCAAGGCTGCAATAAGAATCAAATTCAGACAAAAACACACAGCTGTTATCCAGGGGAGAACTGTTTCAAATCCTTTCCTCTGACCTGAAAAATGTGTAAAACCTCAAATGATCATAAATATTATTCTGTGGCCTTAGCCACTGTTGGTGCTGAAGGATGATAAGAAAATTGTTACTCACCAGTCAGTTCTGGCTCCTCAGTGGAGATCTGAATTAAAACTGAAGTTTCAACTTGACCATGTTCGTTCCTGCTGATGCACTGCATAGTGCTGTTTTCATATTCAGCAGCAGACAAAGTGATGGTGCTGCTCACTGTCTGATTGTTGCTGGAGCTGGTGACCGAGTAGTCTGTGAGGGAAGCAAAAGGCCAACTAACTGAAGGCAGAGGATTCCCCCAGCTGATGCACACACAGACCAGCTGCTCTCCTTTAACCAGGCAGTGAGATTCATTCAGGATTTCAGGTGGGCCTGCTGGGTTTTGTGTCGGTGATAGCTCATCTGAATGAAAGAAAGAAAAGAAAAGTGATCCATAAAAACACAGTAATTTGAGTGCCTTATTATAACTATAACACTTTATCCACTTACCATAAAACATGTATTCTAGAAAACTGTCAAAGTTCCAATAATAATCGGGAGTGTCTCTGTAAAATACAGAAAAATGTGAACTTCCAATGTTCTATAATAGTGGATAACTCTTATTTATTTTTGGAGGCATTTGTGTGACAAACTGAAGCAGCAGCTTAAGCTTAAAAAATGAAGCTAATTCCCAGGTCTTTTAGCATCTTTAGGAGCTGATTTATCAAAACGGCTGATAAACAATACTGAATACCTACAAAAATTTGAACAATAGTCATTGTTAAATGTGGACGTGTTGTAATTTACTAAGTCTGGTGCACAAAGAATAACAGGTGAAGCCATGGTGAGGACCGCCCTATTGAAATGAGGATTTTGTGTGCATCACTGATGGAGGCAAAACAGGCACAACTAAATTTAGTGTTGCAAAGACAGTCCTTTTTGTTTCGTTTTTAATTGAACAGAGGTCGTCAAGTTTCACATGGTTTTATAATACTAATCATTGATAAATCGACCCCTTACTGTATTACAGTAAATCCTGGTTTGTTAACCCAACCATTAATCATGTGCTTCTGCTTTGTGGCACAATCACAAAGTGTTGACGTTAGCCTAATGTTTAAGGACTATATAGCTCTTCTTCTATATCAGGGATGGGTAACTGGTGACCTGCAGTTCTGTCTGTCCTCTGCCCCAATCCCAAAATAGAAAATGTTTTACTTAAAAAGCAAGAGAACTCAAAGGAGCTTGAATAGTTCCTGCTGTAACTATGAAAGGGCTTGCCATTTGTCATCCAATTTAAATTAGGATTTGAGTTTACTTTTTGTCACCCACAACCATACCAAATTTCACCACAGTATGGCCATCAATGGTCAAGTTACAGTCAATTCTTCCATCTAGCTATAGCGGTTATCTTGGATTTTTGAATTGAATTCAGTACGTGATGGGGATTGTTCTCAGCTACCGCTACAACAGTTTTCAGTTTAGTATGCCTATAAATGGTTGAATTATTGCATTTTCAAAAACAAGCTCTAGCTGTTAGCTTAAACTTTTGATTAGCATTAATAAGTGTTTGGTTTGGTCACAGCTACCACCACGTCAAATTTCAGCTCAATGGGCCTCATGCAAGAACATGTTCGTATACTTATCCTAAATTTCTCTTACTTTTGTTCGTACAAAGGCTTCGTAGGAACATGCTACGTCAGATTCAACAAACTCTTCTATCTTCAGGAAAAGTGCGTAAATGAGCTGCGTAAATTCCACCTGTTCTATCCAGCTGCTCGTGCACGCGAGAGGAGATTAGCATAATAACCACCCCAAAAACACCATATACAGTAAGGCTATGTTTCCTGCCTCAGATACAAGGAAGTGTCCATTCATAAAAATGAC